GGGGGGGGGGGTTGTTCAAGAGCAGACTTGGCAGTGTAAACCTTAGCAGGTATAAACCTTCCTCCACTGGACTCTGGAAGAGACTGGAATCTGGGTGGGCCTAACATTTACCCAGTCTTACCACCTCGAGTTTCTGCACAAGGCTGAGGAGGGGTGGAAGATACTGCTACCTTACTCAGGGGTCTGCCTGGAGTCAGCAAGCATAGGAAGAGATCAGAGGTGGATCTTGGGGGAGGGCGAGTGGAGGTATAAAGTTAGGCATGGGCAGATCTAGAGAGGTTGGTCTTCCAAGTAGGCACTGAAGAGAGTCCTTGCCTAACCCCAACTGTTTGTTTCTGTAGGTTGAGTGGAGACCACCTATAGGCATGCTGTGGGGTGGGGAAAGATGGTTACAGCCCTGCCCCTGCCTCTTCAATGGTTGGGCACTATGAGGAGTAGGGGAGGACTGTTTGGTAGAGGTTGAGGGCAAAGGGCTTATGGGGGGTCATGAGGGGTTAGATGGCACTAAGGGTCTTTAGGGGGAGGGGGCTAGCAGAGGAGAGGAATGTGGGTTTAAGAGGGGTGGGGGCATTATGGAAGCAGAGAGGTATGGGGCAATAGATAGGGAATGGTGGGATCTGTGGGGGTGAAATGGAGTATGAGGGGGTTTTGGAGCAAGAGGGATTATGGATGAGGAGGGCAGGTGGTATAAGGGGCTGCAGTGAGTTTTGAGTGCTCAGGGGGCTTTGGAGGACTCAGTTGGAAGTGAGAAAGATGGGGTCTCATGGGTTTGGAACATAATGGAATGGGGCTGAGCATATAGGTGGGATGAGGGACAGAGTAGAGTCAGATGGCACTTGAGGTGGCAGGGGCAATGCATGAAGGGCAATGAGGAGCACTGTGGGTCCATCATAGAGTGTCTTCGGGGCTCATGCAGGGAGCAGTTCTGACTGTGGCCAGGATGAGGGTTAACAGTTAAGCCTCCCTGGAACCAGATGCCTTCCTCGTGTTGGAGCTTGTAGTCAGTCCCCCATAGATTCAGCTCTATTTGTTTTTGCTTGGATCATAAACTGAATAATATAGCCTAAAACCCCTACCATATTAGTAGACCTTCTAGGTTTTTTTAATTGGAGAAAAATGTGCATTCTGTTCTTTGATAATGTACCACACAACCTGCACCCCCTTTTAAACATCCTAGATCTGCCCATTGAAAGCAACTAATAGGAAAGTGTGGGTGTTCTCTTTATTTCTCTGAGGAGCAACTTTGATCACACAATAGGGCAGGGGCGGGCAATTATTTCAGGCGGAAGGCAGCTTACGCAGTTCTGGCAAGCTGTTGAGGGCCACATGGGTAGGTCCACCCCTTGACAGGTGCCCTGCCCCCCTGGTCACCATCTTGGAACCAATGACCCAATGTCTTGGACCAATGTCCCAGGGCCAGCACCAGTGGGGCCCAGAGCGGGGCACAGGCTGGCAGGGGTTTGTGGAGCCAGACTGGGCTGCACCAGCAGGGAGAGGGGGAACTGGCCCAGCTCCATAAAGCCTCTGCCAGCTGGGACCCTGTACTCCTGCCTCCCTGCTCTGGCCCCATCGGTGCTGGTCCTGTGACACTGGTGTGGACCCCATGCACCCGCTCACTCCCAGTGCCCCCCCGCCCCATGGTACAGGCAGGGGACAGTGTACAGCCCCAACCCCCTGCTCCCCCGCAGGGAACGAGCAGATGCTGAGCATGGGGTAAAAGCAGCCCCTCCCCCATCCTGTGGTCAGCGCTCCCTGCTGCACCCATGTGGGGCTGTCCTGAGCAGGCACAGGCAGACCCATACAGGCTGCGAGCAGCTGCAGTGTGGGGCATCAGCCACAGGGTGGGTGAGGGGTTGCTTTTCCCTGCACTCAGCACCAGCTTGTAACCTGCCCCTGCTGCCAGCCTGGGCCCCGTGCCAGCTCCGGGCTGCCCAGTGTGCTGGCCGTGGCAAGTTGGGGGGCTGCAGCTGCTGCCACCATGTGCAGCCCCAACAGGCGAGCCCAGAGTTGACACAGGGCCGGGTTACAAGCTGGTGCTAAGCTCAGGGGGGAAAAGCAGCCCCACCCCTGCACCG